TGTAAAACCATGAAGGAAAATGTGGTGTAAGGGGGTGTGTGTGTCAGTTCTAGGCTGCCCTGAGTTGCCTGGATTCGTGCCTGGCTGGCCTCATTTTTCCAAATGCAATTTCTAGCCAAGACCTTGAGTGATTGTTCTTCATGAATCATGCAAGCGGCCATGATTTCCTCAATGGGAGCTTGGATTGCAGCAATGCGAAACGTGCACAACCTGAGCACTGATTTCTCACCCAGACTTTTCTTCCTTAAGTCACTTCTAAAAATAGGAAAGTCATTCATCTTAAAGGGAATAATGGCCTATAAAAATGTCGAATTAATTTCTTCATATTTATGAAGCCTTTGTCTTCCGCCCATTATGAATACCCCTCTTAATGAATGCTCTTTCTCCTTCATGAAGGTATTATGAGCAATTACGTTCTCCAGTTTTAATGTGCAGATAATGTAATCAAATGCCTTATACTTTATCCCCAGGTTATTGACTACCCACCCCCTCAAGGACTAAATAGCTTTTACTCCCATGTAGGATATATTGGCCCCAATTGCCTGGGACTCCGAGTGAACACATGGTCTTCCTTAGACCATTATGTATATGTACAAGCTTTAATCACTGCAAAGGAGACCCCAGAAACATTACTTGGACCCCAAAAGCTCTCTGCAGTGCAAACTTCCTGTTCTGGTCACGTACAGGCTGGTTATTTATGACCTGCTGTCCATTTAGACTCGCATTGCATTTTTGGTCCTGGTTGGCAGCACAAAGATAGCTTAAAGACTGAATGAAAATTAAAAAGGACTTAATGAAAATTAGAATTCAGGCCCTGAACACTGATATAAAGGAGTATTAATCCCTCCTCAGACTTGTACCTAGAATAAGGTACAATTATGAATAGAAAGATCATTTCAAGTTATGACAGATTTGATGAAAGAACTTTCACTGCTGTCAGAAGGAAAGTTATTATATCTCTGCTAATAAGTATTCATCAGGTTTCCAGGGAGCTGGATTACACCAAGTAATAAAAGGTGTGAATGACAGCTCTTTTGGGGCAAGCAAGAACTAGAAGAAAACATCTCCCAAGAATGCCTGCACAATCCAAGTACCTTGCCCCATACTGATACTTTTTTCCATATTTTCTTGACTGGTCCATTTTGTGCCCTGTGAAGCCTTTGTATAGCTGCAGAGTAGGATCCTCTCCCTCTGCAAAATGCAGATGGGACCTGTGTTCATTGTGCCATTTCTGAAAGCCAGGATATCCAGGTACTACCATCCCTACCTATTCCAGGAATTAAAGCTGGTAGAGGCGGAACTGTGAGAGCTGTTCCCAGCCTGAGGTCAACAAGAGTCCATCTCACTAATTGGACTATGGATAAGGTCCAAAAAGGCATCATTCCAAAATCTGTCTTGTATGAAACACCACTGCAATCAGCAGAATGACACTAATTATGCATGGTATGAGGCAGCATTCACCTGCCTCCAGCTCCACTCCCTCCCTAGGAAGGAGGGTGACGGGGAGCTAGAAGAAAACTCACAGTTTACCACCAGAAACATTTTCTGCCTGTTCATTTCATCCAGTATTTAGGGCCTTTGGAGCTTTCCAGTAGCTCTTGAAAATGCAGTAGACGATCTCAAAAACTAGCAGTTTTGTGCAGAGCAAGCCCCAGTTTGGTCTGTGCTTGTTGCATATATTTGGCTCTCCATTATATACAATGGAAAATTAAAATAGGAAACAGAGGAATTCTGCTAGAAAAAGCAAATGGATATGGTCAAAGCCACAAACCACTTGGCATGATCTTTGTGAAAGAGATTACCAGCAAGAGGCTGAGAGATCATCTAAATGGAGAAATGCTTTTATTCTTTAGTTTATTTTTCCACCAGATTTTTCATGAAAAAAAAAAAAAGTTTGGTTTCATCTCTATTTAGTTTTATTTTATTCATCTGATTCTTCAGGACAGCAAAGCAATAAACTGTTGAGTAAAACTTTTTTTTTTTTTTATCCAGTGCCTTTTGCAAGGACAGTTCTGACAACAGCCAGACAGCAAGCGCACCTTGAGCAGAGCTTGCTACAACATCTTTAAGCACCTCACCCGTAGTTCCTAATCTCCGCAGGCTTTTTTCCTGTGTTTACCTGGTGTCTCTTGACAGATATTTCAACTGTAGGTAATGTGAGATGAGGATAGTCTTTTCCGTTGCTTGTAAACAGTACACAGTGGGGAACCCTTCCTACCTGGAGTCTCCTGGTGCCACTACAAGATAAGCTAATAATTAATCAGAAATGCACCTTGCGGCAAGATTAACAGATGGCCCATCAGCGGCTCTGACATGAATTGCCACGTTAATCATTTGTTTCTTTGCTCGGTCCAGCTGGCTCAGCTGAAGATGAGTGCTGTGTTTCTCCTGCTCCTGGTGGCCACCAGCAGCATCGGTGCCGCGCTGGAGAAGGGTTTGCCACGACGGGAAGCGCGGCGCCTCTCGTGCGTGCGGTGCTGCGGGCCTTCCGAGCAGCCCATCTCCATCATCTCCTCGCGGTACACGAGGATGAGCAGCGACCCTGCTTTTTCGGTACCCAAAGTCCAGCCCACCATCGATATCACCATCCTCAAAGGTGGGTGGAGGTGACTGCTGTGATAAACATCCTTTTTACATCTTACACGCCTTCATTTTGCAGGCTGTGCTGCTCCTCCTCCCTGCATCAAGAAACTCATCCAATTCATTTACCTGAGAGGTCACAAGGTGACATGGCACAGGCTCTAAGTGGGCACAAGTGGGAAGTAGCAAAAGGCTTCAATCTATCAGAAATCTGTTCCACTGGAAGCTTGAGTTAGATCGCACTAAAACACAGATGCAAATGTTATCATAGAATTACTAAACTAGCATAAGGAATAAAGAATTAGTAAAGATGCTCACCCACTTTTTGCATTTCACATGTTATTTGCTTACGTTGCTAAGACAATAGAGTTGAGCATATAATACAGGAGATGTGCCAGGAGTCCTGTGAGCAGAGACAAGCCGAACAGCCTCTCCCAGGCCCAAATCAGGCTTCAGAGAAATCTGAAATTTTTCTTATCCTAACCCCTGCACAGAGGGGCTGTGCATTTAGCTGGATTTGTGTAAATGGCCTGATTAGGTGATGGAGTTTTACTACCAGAATTATTTTGTGCATCAGCACCATGAACTAAGTGTGGCCAAGCTTCCACCTGGCATTTTTATCCTCTTGAGAATGAGGAGGGTGCTGGTGTCTGACCGGCACTTCTAGATATTAGTGCTGTGAAAAGGTTTTAGCAAGTGCTTTGGTGGCAGCCTCCAACAGGATGACTGCAGCTTAGACTTCACATGCTTGTGTTTGACAAGGTTTTCCTTTACGCTTACAGGTGAGAAGGGTGAAATGGGAGAAAAAGGGTACCCTGGAGCAGTTGGGAAGGAAGGAGAGAGGGGGCTACGTGGCTTTAATGGACGGAAGGGCCAGAAAGGCCAGCCTGGCCCGCAGGGCCATTCCTGCAAGCAGCTCTACGCTGCTTTCTCCGTGGGTCGGAGAAAGCCCCTTCATAGCTCAGACTACTTCCAGCAAGTCATTTTTGACACTGAGTTTGTGAACCTCTACAAGCACTTCAACATGTTCTCAGGGAAGTTCTTCTGCTATGTGCCAGGGATCTACTACTTCAGCCTCAACGTCCACACCTGGAACTTCAAGGAGACCTACCTGCACCTGATGAAGAACGAGAAGGAGGTGGCCATCCTCTACGCCCAGCCGAGTGACCGCAGCATCATGCAGAGCCAGAGCCTGATGCTGGACCTGCAGGAAGGAGAGGAGGTCTGGGTGCGGATGTTCAAGCGGGAGCGAGAAAACGCCATCTACAGCGAGGAGTCTGATGTTTACATCATCTTCAATGGCCATTTAATCAAGCCAGCTGTAGAGTAGCTGTTCTTCAGCTTTAGGCTCAAAGCTTTGGCAGGACATTAGTGTCTTCCCTCGTAGAAATGCACGTCTAGCTCCACTTGGAAGGACTGCAGCAGGCAGCCCCTGGCCTGCTGATGGGGATGGAGCTGTCTGTCCATACCGAGGACACCTGTGTGGATGCAGGTGGTGGTGTTTCAAGGTGATGAAAGCTATGAGAAGGTTTAACTCTTAACATGCCCTGGAGATAAAGCACAGAAGGCCTCAGTTGTACAGCCCTGTATAGATCCCCAGGATCATCCCTGAAGTCTGCCAAGTTGGACGCAAAAAATATAGTGTCTGCTCTGCTTTGGAAAAGCCATTTTAAATTGGATGTAATGGTCATCTTCAGACATCTGTAATCTGGGGGCTAGTTAAGGAATGTATCTACTCCTAAAACAGTGCTTATATCTTTGCAGCGTGTACTATTGCTAATAAGAGCACCTACACCAGGTCTGCTCCATTCAGGTGGGCAAGAACACACCAGTGTTAAGAACAATATTTTGCACAGTACATTTACCCTAAATTACATTTTTTTGTTCCATTTCATGTAATATTACATTCTGAGAGCATAATGCTAGAATTACATAAATAACAGCATGTTGATCTGACAATACTTTGAGGCATAGTTTTAAGTACAACTGCAGCCACGTGCCATAAATTTGCTAGGCTGCTGTGTTGCTAGCAAAACTTTTTGCACAGGAACATCCAGCACAGGTGGGAGCACACGTTTCCATTTTTAAGGAAAACAACAGGCTCTACCCTGGGATCTGATTTGTGAGTACTCATGGCCAAGCTGGAGCCTGAGGACATCCTGGTGTCTGGAAACTACCATCTTACAGCACTCTCATCTCTGGCAGCTGGAGGAGGAAACTGGGAAGAAAAATGGTGCTTTTCTACCAGCAACAATATTTCAGGGGATTTGGTTTCCTTTCTTCACCCCAAAAGGTATTGATATAACAGTGGAAAGGTGCATGCAACAGCAAGAAGCCTTGTTTCCCTCAGTTCCTCCATCCCCATTTCCCCAGTCTCCTGTCTGCATCCCAAGCCATTTGTATGAAGGATACATGAAAAGCTCTTGCTAGGCAAACTGCTTCACTGCTGTGCCTCACCTACCCACAGCTATTCAGAAAAGTAGCTGAAATAAACATATTGCTTTGAATACACTGCCTTTGTTTATCTTACTTCCATGCGCTTTTCACAGTACAGGGCTAAAAGCACTAGGCTGAACACCCAGCCCCACGTTATTATGTCAGGTGGCAATTTTACTTCAACACCAAAGGGTTCCAGAAACTGAACTCCAGACTGAAACCTTTAATTCCTCTCCTTTGCAGGTCAGTAAACAGCCATCGCTGAGTATCAGGATAGGGAGGCAGAGAAGTTGATGACCCCTTGCTGTAAAATAAATACCAAATCTTTCTAAGCTCTCACAATCTTAGTGAAGATAGGAATTTTTAAGTAGCCTATCTACAAAGTAAATGCACTATGACAAGGGGTCTATCAGCCTTGAAATATCGTGTCTGCTCCTACTTTCATCACAGCCTGCTGCAGCCCTCAGAAGGGAAATTGGGAAACTTGCAGAGCTCTAAAATCCCAAGGGCATTTCATGCAGATCCTTCACTGACCTGCTGTCAGATATCCCAGCTGCTTAGATCAGGCCACACTGCACAGCAGCATTTCCTTTTTTTTTTTTCCTGGCCCTTCTAAAAAAGCCTCCTAATCAGCAGTTTCCATTAGGGTGATGGTAAAAGCCCTAATGGCTGCATTGCTTATTTGCAGCTCGCCACTTAGTGCTGAGAGCACTAGCAGGGAGGTGCCAGCCCTGAGCAAACAGGCACCAGCAGAAGCCTTCCCACTGCACTCTCTGAAGGCATTCGCAGCCTGTTTTTCCCCAGCCTTTTCCCTACCTCTGAACCACTCAGTCCCCAAGCAGACCCAGATTTTGCAGCTGCGGAGAGCCGTGCCCCACGAGCTGCCTGTGGTGGAGCAGTGATTATTCGCCAGGGCTGCCCAACATTCCTCGCCTATCGAGCAGCTCCGCACAGCTTCAACTCACCCCATCCACAGCTCGCTGCACTGACTATAATTAAAAAGAAAAAAAAAAAGATCCAGCCCTCTTAAAATGTCATGCCCAGCTGGAGTTATTGACAGTGCCTAATCCAGCTCTGGAAAAAAAAACACCCAGCGCATGTTTATGTTCAACCCACACTGATTTTGGAAAAGTTACTTTCTACCAGGAAGCAAGCAAAAATCCATATTTCTATATCTCTATACCTGTGCATCTCCATAACACCTGGAGACACGGTTAGGGAGACTCTGATAGGACACGTTCAAAATGCTCTTGACTGATATGCCAGGGTTATAAGCAGGTAAATCGTTAAAGCCACATTGGTTTCTGGAGCAGAATAACCTTTCAAATAATAAAAAAGGTTATTGGTTTGCACACATTACTCAAATCAGTCACTTATTATCAAAGAACTAGAAGTCTCAGCCTGCTGATTTCTCTGGAGAAAAAAAATGAAATATCTAAAAAAGCAGGGATGTAGGGATGTACAAAAACATCCCTACTGCCACCTTTTGAATGAATCCATCATATTTTTTTCCCAACTTGAAGGGCTGGGACAAGCATCCCTATTTAGAGAAGCTTAATGAGCCAAATCTAAAGCACAAATATTTTAGAACTGCTCATCAACATACAGGCAGCTTGCCAGAGCCTCTTTTATAGGAAGAATTTAAATCCTTCTTTTTTTCCCCAGCAACATGTAACATGGAGTACCAAACTTTGAAAAAAGCATTTTCAAGTTTTTTTTCTTTTTGAAGAAAAATGCAAGGGAGTTTAATGCTTAAATCTAAATGAAAAGGAAATAAAACAGTATTTATATTTCTTTTTCTAATAATTTTCCTGAAATAGGTACTTTTCACTTTGAAATAAATATTAGGGACCTATCAAAAATATATATTTTTTTCAAATCCTTCAAAGAATAGCAATACATAGAAATGACAAAACTGCCTCAGCTACCATAAAACCCAAGTGCATTTTACTAATAGGCATTAGTTCTCATACAGGTGTCTTTTACCCCTGAACTCTTGCAGAAGAGTCCCCATGGTACAAGGCACCAATAAATCAAGCTGCCAAAATAATCTTCCTTGCCCCTGGGACAGGACCAGAAATCAGGGAAGCAGAGGAGTCTGTTGAGAGCCTGGGCAAGGAGCTGTAAAGACAGAAACAGTTTCTGTAACTGCAGAAATAACAGATTAGGGAAAACATCAAGTGAGAAGCAGCTACTCCCCAAAATTTCCTTTGCTTGGCATAAGAAGATTAAAACAGAGTTTAAGTCAATTTACCTTTCATTTTCTGACCTCAGATCTGTCCTACATTTGCACTTATTAGCCTAAGCCTCGGCAACAGGGAGGAGACAAACTCATCTAGCATCCTCTCCTTCATGTCTGTGGCATCAGAGCCCTAGAGCAGCACCTCACATGAAGATCGCGCTGGGTCAGCGCCTGTCCTTGTAGTGAAAAGGTGATGAATGGGGAGAGCAAGCAAGTGACCTGCCCACATCCACTGGGGATGGAGCAAGATTTATGTTCAGCATTAGGAAAAAATGCTTCAACTAGGAGAGGTGGACCCTGCAGGTGGCTGTAGCAGGAAAGACTAATGCTCCATCCCAGGAAGCCTTCAAAGGCATCCTAGGATCTGCCAGGAACAATGCAGGCAGCTCTAGCTTAAGGCAGAGAAGCAAACCTGAGAACTGCATCATCCCTTTAGCTTCTTTTCCTGTAGATTTAAGTTTCAGTGTTTTATCCTGACGAAATTCCAAAAAGCCACAAGAAATACTTCTTACTAAAACCCCGTATGAAGGATCTCTAGCTGTAATTTCAAATATCGCAACCCCCCCCCACAAAAGAAGCCCTGCAGCACAGCTCAGTAATTACTAGGGATCTATCTGCACCATTGAGTCCCATGTTTGAGTTTATCTTATGACTTCCAAATGTGCTCATTCATTATCCTTCCTTACATGATTGCACCGAATGAAGCTTCACATTACAATTTGTAGGACTTCTGCAGAGCCCTCACTTAGCTGTGCAATTGCTCTGTGACTTGCTTTTCTTCATTTCCTCAGTACCTACCCCCCGTAGGTGTAAGACCAGAGAAAATCCTCACACTTATAGACTTGACAAAAAAAAATCTTTTAACTTGAGCACAGAATCATCTGAATTCTGCCAGAACCTAGCCCTTTTTTCTTCATGAGCTGAAAATAGTACAGCCCTTCCTTGAAGCCTTCTTCCCTTCAATACTCTTTTTTTCCTCCTAGAAGCAGCATTGGGGTGGGGTGCTTGAGCTCCCCTTTATATAGAGACACAGCAAATTATTCACAGCACTCCCAAGTCCGCTGTAACAAGCTGAGGGACTATATAAGGCAGTGATAAAGGCTAGGGAGCTGTTTGGTTTTGCTAGGAGAGGTGAACTCTGTGTGGGTTAAATGAGTGTGGGTTAAATGAGTGAGGTGCTATGAGGGAACTCCAGATGAGAGCTTTGCTTTAGTACTTAGTAGGTACAACACTGCTTCGTTTCATTGCTTGTTGTGCCAAGCTCTTTGTGCATTTATCTCTTCTCTGTCCCCCTTGCCTGTGATGAGCTGCAGTAGTGCTGAGCATCAGGGTATTACAAGGACCCTTCCTGAGTCCTACAGCTGGCCCTGCAGCTTCTCTGCTGGCCTACAGAAACTCTCGCTCTTTAAGGAATTCAGTGCCTTCTTGTGCAGTCTTTAAATAATGCTGTAGCCACTCAGAAATACTCTCTAGAAAGAGCTTATAAAGGGTTTATAGACCTGGCTGTGACAAACAACTGCTGTATGGGTTAATAGCTCTTACAGTGCTATTAGAGCTCATTATACCTGGCAGAGCTGGTGACTGGGCTGGTACTTAGTGCTCTTGATGCCAAATGGCAGCAAGGAAACTAAAACCTCTGTGTGCTCCCTGCTTCCTCTCCTAATTATTCATTTTTTGCATGCTTGCTTCTGGCTAGACCCCAGTGCTCTGTACCATCAGGCTCGTCTAAGTTGATTAAACTTCTAGGCCAGTTCATTGACTCCCTGGACTACTTTAGTGAACTGCAAAGCAAAAATCATCTCCTTCAAGATACCACTTCCTACAGCACTTTCTCATTCTCAACAAATAGAGCAGCAGGTGAGGAGTAGGTCTTCCCCTTACTGGAGGTTTAGCAGGGAGTCTGAAGCACAGCTAATTGCCTTGCTTGCACCCCTGGGATGGTAAATAGTAAAAATCAGGTGAGAAAAGGGCCTGGGAGGCCTGATTCAGTACCCTGAGATCACCACTGAAGCAGTTTAGCTCCTGCCAAGCCCCCGCATGGGCCAGGCTTATTTCTGGTGCTCTCACTGTGTGCTCGTGCTGTCCTGCAGAGAGGATGCGCTGGTCCTGCTGTTGCTCCCTGCTTTACAGCAATTCTCCGAGCTGGAGTCACAACGCTCGAAATCCTGCTCTGTGCTGAAGCCTTTCAACCGTTCTCTTCAAAAGTAACCCCATTCCTTGATTTGATTTCAGCCTGCAGCAATAAGCCATCCCCTAGTAACTGCTGTGATCACAGCTCTCTGCTGGCTGATCGGGAGCTCAGGGAAGGCTGTGAGCTGCTGTGAATCGGGCTTTTTTCCAGCCAAAGGAGGCTGGTAAAATCCATGTTCTGCCAACTCCCTCCAGATGCTAAGTTCCTCTGAAGTCCAGCTCTCTGTATGCTTTTTCTGCCTGAAAGCGTTCAGGATGGGACCTGACAACAAGTGTGCTTCTCCCTGGCAGCAGCTCAGCATTGCACCCCTGTGGGTGTGCTGCGCTGGGCCTGACGAGGCACAAGGCATTGCTCTTGGAGAACAGTGCATACTTCTAGAAGCCTCTTTACCCTCCTGCATCCCATCTTCAGGTAGCGGAGTCTTACAACGAGTGCTCATGCTGAAACTAAAACCTGAACACTTCTTTTTGGGCACATCTGCGGAGCAGGTGGGAGCTGCAGGTGTGCAGCACCTCTGGCACCCAGGGCTTAGCTATCAGCAGACCAAATAACCTTGCAGGCACGTAGTGAATATTGCAGACACGGAGTGCACCCTGCCTGCTCTGCTCACCTCCCTGTCACTGTGCTGCAGCAGGGGGCTCCCAGCGAGCCTGCCTCTGCCTCTGCTCTTCTCCCAACCTAGTTTTGGGTGCAGAGAGTGTTTCTGGTGAGTTTACCTCCCTCTTTGCTTTCTGGAAGGATCCTTCCCCGTGTGTCAGGGTAAGAAAAGGAAGCTCTGCCTCCGGCAAACTGGTTTCTTCCTCTCCATAACTTTTGTTTTACAACAGGAATAGCCAGATAACATCAATGCAGATAAGGCAACCAGGCAACAAATAAAGCTAATGGCTTGTGTTTAGATGAGTTGAATGGAACTTAATGATTCTACTAAGAACCTATTCACTTACAAAGATTTAAAGTACTAGATAAAATGCAGCAGGTAAAAGATGAAAGTGTTAGAACAAATAGAAACCACTTACAAGCCAGGCAGCAGCAGGCTGGAGCCTTGGGCTTGCAGATGCTGTGTCTGCAGCCACTTTGCCCTTCGGTGGGGTGGGCAGGAGGCTTGGAAGGGCAAGGCATTGCCCGAGCCCTTGGGCAGAGCCTGCTGGTGCTGCTGGAGTGGTTCTTCCCCTCTCCAGAACAGGAGGAAGCTTTCTCACCAAAAGCTGCCCTTCACACGCCAGCCAAAAACTGCTGCAGACAATCTGGGCACCCCGACGATTGCTGCTATACATCAGGCACGACAAGCTAATGCTATTTGCAACTCCTTTCTTCCAGGGCAAATTGCATTAAAGCCAACTTGCACAAATTGCTTCGGTTTTGGTTCCTTTTTTTTTTTTTTTTTTTTTTCCCTTTTTCGTTTTGGTAGTGCAAAATCCCAGTACTGTTGGAGCTGCTGCCCTGGGTATCTGGGGAAGTGCACCACCCTGTTTCCAAGCAGAGAAGAATGCAAGTCAACTACCCAACAAAGTCATCCTCCCCTCGGGTTTTCTGTCCCTGCTTTTCCTCCCTTTTCAAGGCAGAATTCTGTCTTTCCCATTGATTGAGAAGACAGCCCTGCAGTGAAGTTTAAATTGTACCCTGCAGGGTAGGTCTTGGACCTCAGGTCCAGGGAAGCACTAGCACCCAGGGAAGAGAGCAGTGCCTGGTTTCTGGGGGGCCTGCCACTGTTTTTTGTGGTCCCTTCGTCACGCTGATGAGAATTTCTCTGTCAAGGCTGAAGTGGCCTGGCCAGGAGTGGACATCACTTCTGCTTTCAGCCCTGCCTAAAAGCAGGGAGGGGAGAGCTTGGGGAGGGAAAATGTCAGGACTTCCAAACCCCAGTAAAAAGCCCTGAAAAGGCAGAACAGTGAACAGACACAGGACCTGGCCCTGAAACCTGCTTGTCCCTGCAGAAACGCTCCCTCAGACCACATGCTAGCGTCAGCCATTCACCAGGGAGGAGACACAAGCTGGCAGCAGCGTAATGCCGCCACGGTGATGCCCGCTGCGTGCAAGGCTTGCTGTCGGCTGCTTTCAAGATCCAAGAAAATACAAAAGGAACTGCTGGAGTAGGTGATGTGGATGCCAGGTCCTCCTTGCTTCCTCCTGCCATGCAGATGTCTGCAGCTTTCTGTGCCAATTTGGCAACAAAGCTGCATGCCTGGGCTTTATTATATGTTGCAGAGAGCCTTACGGCTCTCCTGGGAATGGAAATACATGGCTGGGAGGAGTATGTAATGCAGGAAACATGGAAAAAACCCTGCCAGGCACACTTAGTTTGGGATGCTAGAATAGCCATGTTGAGTCACAGAGGTTCCTCACACAACCTTAGCTCTAACAGTGGATGTTTCTTCAATTGTTCCTTTTGTGCTGAAGCAGGAACACTTAAAATAGACCCGAGCAGCTAATGCACTCAGTTAGCTCATTAAGAAATGGCAGAGTTTAGTGCTGTCAAGACCCAAAGTGGCAGTGGGTTGGAGCTAGGAAAAGGCATTTGTGCATTCAGGATTTTGGCAATGACTCCTGGCCAGCCCTGCTCCTGCTTTTGTGAAGGCTGGAGGAATGGCTCATGCTGGGTATACAGCTGAAATATTTGGAGAAGTTGTGGCTCCATCAGATACAATCCCCACTTGTTCCCCTAGCTATAGCCCTGGGACCAGCATGAAGAAAAATCAAGGAAGCAGGAGGAACCTGGGCTGAATTTAGCAGCTCCATGGGTGTAGAGCCAGTGCTGCCTGTACTGAGTCAGGCCTGGTCTGTTACTGGGGATGATTCACGTTCCTGTGTCCTGGGGATTTCAGGCATTTGGAGACAGGTCTCCTAAGGGTTTGAGCATTAGCAAATGCTTGGTCATCAGAGCCTCTGGTGTGGCTGCATTTTGAATGCTGCGCTCAGCATCTCCCAGCGCTGGGGTGTTTCACTTCAGATGGTTCTGAAGTGGAGCAAGTAGCATTTATTTGGTATATTAACCTCATCTAATTGAGTCTCTCTGCTCATTAAGAATAGCAGTTATAATTTATCAGCCATAAAACTGCTAACCACGTTTGCTTAATTACTGGCAACGTCATTTGTTAGGGGCTTTGGGGAAGAAAGCAGCGGGTGCTCAGAGCTGGCAGACACCATGAGCTCTGCAAAGCCAAAAAGCTCCTTCCCGACCGAGGCTTTGGGCAGAGCACTTGGCCAGCATCACACAGCCTGCAACACTTTTCTGCCTACACGAAGAGCTTCAGGCTCTCGGCTCCCCCTGATGTCATTGAGCACCAAATAGCTGAAAGACTCTGGAGCATCTCAGGACAACGGGATGGATGAATAATAACTAGGCAGCCTGTCCCCAAAATCTGCAAGCCTGGGTGTCCCTCCTGTTTGCTGTTCACCCACAGCTGGAGCTTGTTGGGTTGTTGCTGAAGAAGTGACGGTGCCACAGGCTGAGCCAGCAGTGCTGAAAGAGTCTCTGGTTCACTGCACTGACTCGTGGCCTCTCTCTCTGCCAAACCCATGTAAAGGAAGGCACCAAAAGCTTTTATTATTAGGCAGCATTTGTCAGAAAGCAGAATGGTTTGCGAGTCAAGTATTAGGTCTTTAAAATGCGAAAAGAGCCATGGCACTCAATATAAAATTCCCCAAATGCTTTCAGTTTCACACTGAACAATACCCTCTGGCACTAGATAAAATATTGTTCCCAAGTGATTTATGAGTTGAATATGATCCTGCTATTATTGAAGTTAATTACAGATTTTTTCTCTCTGTGCCAGGGATGTATTTTAG